AATATGGATAGTATATGATTAAGTAACAAAAAGGAATTCTCAATAATTTTATTTCCTTGGATAAGAACAAATCCGTGTATTATTATATTCAACCAATGTATCGAATCGAACAATGAACTAACAACATACAAACAACATAAACAACATGAGGTTTTGATGATGAGAGAAGCACTACTTATATAAGACTACTATCACCAAAATCAGTGACCGGAAATTGCTAATTTCGGCCTTGTGCTATCACCAATTTTCGTTACCGAAAATTACCATATCTAACCGTTGTTTATATTTCGTATTATCACCAGTTTCAGTGACCGAGAATTACTAAGTTTAGCTATTGTTTGTATCTTGTACTATCACCGATTTCCGTTACCGAAAATTACTACATTTGAATTCTAGTGTGACAGTGTTAAAATTAGATCGCTGCGGGTAGTATTTTGACTGCGGGGGAAGATTTTATCACATGACTTCATCGACTGAATCATCAGACCGACTCGTCGTAACAGTACCAATAAATTTAAATTAGATATAAACTATGAGGAGCCCCTTTGTTAATATCAGGAAATTGTCTCTTTGTTAACATCAGGACATTGCTTATTTTGAAGAGACCGAACGCATGCAACTTATAATAATGTAAGTAATAGCGGGCATACCTATATAACAAAGAATTCACAAATTTATATGAAGTTAATCTGACAAAAAAAAAAGACTGATACATGTATTTAGTGAATCAGTAAAAAGATATTTAAACATACTCGGCCAACCCTGATAAATTTGCAGGAGAAAATGAAACTCGATGAAAAAAAGTGTTCCTTGTGTGAGAAAAAAAAAAGATCTTGTGTCTTAAAAAGGAGTTGACGAATTTCTTCGCGTCCTTATATGAGAATGCCAGCATAGTAAAAAACAAAGCTGATAGGCGAATGAATGATTGAAATGACGTCATATGTTCATTTTATTGCAGCATCATGCCTATGTAATAATAAGAGGATCATTGTCTTCAGTAGAAAATAGTCGCAAGTTCTCAAAGATGACGCCTTTCGCAATTTACCATAATAAATTAGCAAACTCAAAATTTGTTAACTCCTGAATTGATTGAGGCGTATTCGAGATGAGAAATAAATTTATTATGTATGTACATTATCGATTAATTCTAAGAACGCGTATAACATTTGACGGCTTATTCGTTGTGTCGATTATAATTTGGTTCACAGTATAAAAACGGAGGCTAAGGTACCTAATTAGTCGATAGATATGATTAAAGGCAAAATCGATATGTCATTGCTGAAAATAGATATCATTCGCTCCATGGTAAATTATTCGATATAGTTGTGAACCACTTAATCCTTATATCGATTAGGGATATCCGCCTATTGTCCCGTGGATATTCTCGTGGCATTACAATTGTATTTGCTAAAGATGAGATGTACGTTTGAGTAGATACAAGTAAATACCAACCTGTAGGCTTCCGTCAGAAGGAAATAGAGGATTAACTCGGCGACGAATAACCGTCTAGGATAGATCGATTGTTGACACTTAATCACTTTCAACTTTTCTTTATATTTATCTGGTAATGGACACGCTGGTCTTTAATAATGGCGTTAAATCTTGATATTGAAAAAGTACGGATCATAACTAGAATATTTACGGCAATGCTGATTAAAGACTATATACCGTATTTCTCTGACTAAAGTACCCCGCAAGCAAAATATCCCTCAGCAGTTTTGAGGCCTGATTTTGTAAAAAACCCGGGTACTATTCTCGAAGAAATAAATATAATCAAGTAAAATACCCGGGTATATAAACAAATAATTTCATGCAAAGTACCCCCCTAATTTTATTTGTCAATATTAATAGCCATCTACCATATATTCTCATATAATATATCATCCTCATAAACGTCTCCATCAATATTACTAGTTATATCAATCACATTTTCTTTCTCCTCCTCCAACTCTGTTGCTAACTCCTCTTCTACACTAGCATAATCAAATACCAGATCGTCTTTAGAACCATCCATATCTACAGATAACCCACAACACTTAAGCGATCGTTTAATTAATTTTGCACTACATCAAAGTACCCCCCTTTTTACCCCCAAATTAGTACCCGGAGTACTTGAGTCAGAGAAATACGGTACACGAAAGGCTGTGATGGAAGCAATCTAAGACATTTTACAGTCCCTAGAAAAAGTAATATCGGTCAGTTTTTGAGATTAATAAGCAAAATTTAAAAGCCGAACATTATGGCTACAAAATTTGTTAATTACGTAATATTTGGTATGAACACCTTCAGCTTTAATACATGCTTTTTATACTGCTGTTGGCTGTTAACTATAATGAATTTTTCGAGATTATTTCATCGCTTCCTAATAAAATTGCATTCTTTCTTTAACACAATTTTTTAATGCGTTTTTCGATACAAGTGAAACTCGATATAAGAAGCTCTCGATATATGAAACACTAATTAAAATTTGATATAAGAAAGTTGATCTGAAAAATAGTCTATATAAACCTATCTCCATATAAGAAAGTTACTAATAAACTCTCGGTATAAGAAAGATTCTAAGATTTTTTACTATTGGTCCCGATCACTTTCTTATTCGCGAGCCACTTGTATTATGCTTCAAAACAGCCCAAACATTCTCGATTGCAACGCGAGTAATCACGAGCCCAAGTTAGCCGGTTGGCTTTTGTTTGCTGGGTAATAGGCACTTTACGTGGTAAAAACCGAGTTTATTAAGGTTGCAGCGAATAGTATACATCTAATTTGGGGAGTTTGTTTCCTGCATAGTCTTAAATTCTTTGTGAGCAATCAGTTCGATGGAATTTTGCCATTTTTCAAAAGAAAGAAAATATAATGTTCACAAAAGACGAAGAAAATTTTTTAAAAAAACAAAAACTTCTAAAGAGACTTGGCAAGTTTACGCTTTGTTTTAATAGGTGTAGGTGCCATTTAAAATTAAAAAACAGTATGTGCCTTTGCATCTTATTGTTTATATTTTAAATTACTGTTCTATTGCCCATATTGGTATAGTAAACAAAAGGATACGGAGATGCTATCAACAAAAAACAAAGCCACATACTTACCGCCATTACTTTTGTAGCATCACATTCATGGTTACCTCTTGGATAAGTTTTAATTTACTTGCGCTGGAAAATTATAGAAATATTTTACGAATTTAAATATGATGTTTAATATTCTATAAGCCACAATGTTTACTGGATGTACTGAATATTTAGTGGAAGGGAATATCTTGGAAACGTTTCGCTTCTTTGTTCAATTCACTAAGAGAAAGTTGATAATTTGCTGCCCAATTTTACGCCATACCACAATACACTGTATAACGTCATCATGGATTCCTTTAAGAAAAGGAGCTTCACAAGTTAATAAATACCGAATAAGTTTCCGATATTACGTAAAAGTCCTCAATTACTAACAACACGCACGTAGTTGTCTTTGTGAAGAAATAATCTTAACAAGTGTTTTGACAAAACTTTCGATAATATTATGTAAACATGATACAAGTTGTGATTCTTGAATGTCAGAACGATGACAATCTGATTATCATTTTCAATTTGTGTCAGACCATTTATAGCACTTTTCAAAATAGTACGATCATCATTCAAAAAAAAAAGAAAACGAAAACGAAAACGAAAACGAAAACGAAAACAATTTCAGCCAATAGTTATAATCACCTCATAATCGGTTATAATCGCTGGTGTAACAACCCAACAAGCTTTCTTTTCTTGCCTTGCGCTAGTAAAGAGGTAAAGTTGTATCAAGTAAGCATCTTCTACTCTTCAGAAAGGTTTGGTAATCACTGGCTTGCAGAAGTTTTCACGAAGTTTTCGCCTGTTTAGTCGCTGTTTTCGCAAAAAAAGTTGTGACCAAATGTTCGTGACTGCTGAATTTTGAAAAGAGCGATAATAACAATCCCTTCCCGGAGTCACGATTTTTGTCTAAATTTAGGTCATGCAGACAGGACATCGTAAATGCGTATTTGAAAACAAGCTTGTCGTTTACATTCTTTATTTGCATCGCCGCTTGATACATAAATGAGTACAAGGTTAGGGTAAGGGGTTTATAATTGTAAGTTTCAACTCTATTTTTCGCAGCTATGATCAAAATAGCATTTTTGAGTCGCGTCATAGTTTTAATTTTTATACTCCTCTTTGCCAAGACATCATTGGTATTACGATAATAGTGGTAAAGCTCAATCGACGTACAGCATTGTTAGAATCGGGTTAGAATCGGGGCATACAAAGAGGATTCGCAATGCTCATATAAAGAAAAGTAAAAAACGAATCGCACAGAGATTGCGTATTTTGCATTCGTTATCGCAAGAAACACGTCTTCAACTAATCTCTGTATTGTCAACCTGGTTTGTATTTCCAATAACTATTATTAATTATTGAGCTCTAATTAGATAACGCATATTTCGAATTCCCCAATCAAAAAGCTCAAAAACAACGTATTCATCCTCTTTTAACGCGGTAGCCAAGATGTTACACGCATCTCTATTCTTTTCTGCGCAACGCTTCTACTTCTGTCATACTCGTCAATTCCAAATGTTTCTGCGGAGCCTTTATTAAATATTCACGTCGTCAAGGTAAATGGTGGAAATTTGTCAAACGTTAGTAGAACGTCGTTCGATGAATTACGCTTTGGACTTGTTTATGGTTTCAAGATTATTACAGACGTCAAACGGACACTCCCTCGGATACCGAGACCGTTACCGAGACTGTTAACGACACTGCCACACGGATACCGAGACGCTGCCACAGGTCACCGAGACTTCCAGCACTACCACGGGGTACCGACACTTTTCCTTCTGCGACCAGTAGCATTGCAACTTCCCCACTTTCTTCCCCACTGTTAGTAGCGCTGGAGCTTCTAAAACCTCCATCTCTACTGCAGCAGTTTCTGGCTCGACATCGTCAGCGTCAATTGTTTCTGTGTCACTATCTGAAGGGATCGGATCTGTTATAGTGCCAGTTTTTGCAGTTGTTTATGCTGTAGATACGGTTTGCAGGGGCGTGTCTATAGTAATAGTTACGCTTTTCTTGTTGTTTTGATGTTGGTACGATTAGAATATATACTATTTTGTACATAAAAGTAATCTAAAGTTGGTGCCAGCTTAACTTAGCTATTCACCCCAACCTTAATCCTGGTAGTTACCCATTGGTTGCTAATTGACGTACAGGAAAAGCTGACAGGCTCGATGGCGAAAGACAACAACAAATTATTAGTTTGTTTCCGTACTCTTGTTAGCAATAGCGACACACATGTGGTGTTTAGAAACTATGTATCTAGAGTTAAAACCTATTTTCCCATCAACAGTACGTTGCAATATAACCAGTTCCCTCAATTTGTTTTCTGTTAATCAAATTATTATAAAAGGTGTGTTCAATTAAAGACTAATAGTATAAGTAAATAGCTCAATGACAACACTTTTATTCGCCGGGAAAAAGCAGAAATTAGTTCTATGAAACAGTCACTCCGTTACTTTTAAATGGAAAAACCTGTGAATAATATCGTTTCAATCATTCATTCGAGCTTGGTAGCAGCAAGGAAAGCATATTTCACTCTTTTGACGACTATTTCTTTTCCGTCGTTTTACTTACCTATGCATACAAACTACACTAGCTTATAATTGGATATTTTGTACACTTTTCTTTTAATTGTCATTTAAACTTTCTTTGGCTGCAAGCGTATACTCAATCTCTACAGCACAGACGTTTTATTAACACGTCGCGCTCCCCCATTGTCACCAATTAACAATGCACATTCTCTTTATTCCCACGCCACTCTCACTATGTATTCCAATCCCAAGCCATATTCAAATATAGACTTTGTGCTTGCAAACTCAATTGACTATGGAACAATTAGAGGTTGAATAGCGATTGTACGTTTGCTAATAGTACAAAAAAAAAACCTTTGTCGGATAGATTCATTACAAGATAATATAGACATACTTGTCGTGCCATTCGAACTAGCCTTTAGCCAAGGATGTAGAAGTTATACCGATATCGACAAATATGTCAAAAATGTATCACAAACTAGCCTGTTCAATAATCAAAACTTATTTACTTCTCTTCTCTTCGAGTCAATTTCATTCGTAATCTGGTATAAAAAATTACATCGCAATTTTTCAGTCTTTCGCGAAGAAATGTCTTTAATAAGGAAAATACGCCAATCAAAAATTGTATTTGTTCATTCGAATTGTACAAGCAAATTTCGTTATTGCATTGTCGGCATATTCAGCCACTTTACCATAACCTGTATGTAAGTAAGCACGTAATGTGGCTTTGCGCATCACCAAATACTATATACAGTACACTAAATAAAGTCATTACAGATACGCTCATATAAACATGCATTTGTATAGTATACAATATTAACATGCAGTTTATTCTGAAATGTCTTGCGAAATGAACAATAGTCTTGTTATGAGCAAATACAATTGTCTTTGCTTATTTATCTATCACTCAATTGGGTAATGAAATGGGTAGTGAATTACAGTTACTGCAGTAGTAGAGTTTATATAATGGTCCTCAACTGAGACAAGTCCCTAATTGAGGTACAACAGATCTACTAAGACGTAGCTTATAACTGTAAATAGCCGATTTTGCTATTTACTACGGAATTGTTTAATTGGTCAAAAATTCACTCCCATGTATTTTAGAGTT